TTGTGAATTGATTATGGAAGGCAAAGAACTTGAGAGAGAATGTTCTATTATGAATATTGCATTACATACCTGGGCACACTGGTGTTCCAGCTGGAGGATCTTCAAGTTCTTAAATAAATATCAAATGGATTTAAGAGCTATCTTTAATGCCTCCTTTGACAAATGGCCACTTACTAAAGGTCAGCCAAGACTTGATAAACAGTGGATTATCTGCAGCATCCCAGGCACGTCCTACCATCACCCTGGCTCAGTTAACATGGGAAGAGCTGACAAAGAGCCTGCGTGAGTTACTGAATTACTTAGGACCCAAGCACGTGTTGACATAGATCTGAGTGTATTTTTGGATTACATTTCCAAAACTATTATTGTTTTCACCGTTTTGTTTCAGTCAGCATTTTCTTCTCAATGCCACGTATAATTATGAGCTGACTTAGGTAAAATATTTTAAAAATGTGTAGTAGTACATATGTACCTATATAACATCTGAGATTATTTGCCATAACATAAACGAGAACACTCTTTAGCTTGTCCCTCCAAAACAAAAAGACTACTGTACTCTGGAGTGTTATGCAAGAATCAGAAGAGCATAGTTTACTGAATGCTCAGCTTGTTTAGCGACATACCAAAGAGTAGAACAAAGGCTAAAAGCAAAAACATGGGGCAAGTTTTAAGCAATGAACTTAAAGGTATACGGATGATGAAATATTTAATTATCAAGGCAGAGAACAGGTTGTAAAATCTAGCTAATGAAAATATAAAGATGAGTTATTAATGGGATAGCTGTTTAATTAGATGATTCCTTGGTTTGTTTTAAGCAGGAAGAGTGTTGCCAAAATCACAAGATTAGACCTCTCCGAACAGAGAATGGTGATGGTGTGATGTCATCTATCAGTTGCCTTTTACTCCCACTATAATGGCCACACCTTAGGCTACAAATATTAACTATTTAGACATGAGAAATTAATAAAAGGTGAGGCAAAATGGGCAGCAAAAGGAAATTGTTATGTTAAATTAGGCATATGAAGTTAGGAAAGCATTTACAAGTCTAGGAAATGACATAATACAAATTTTATGATTCTCCTTAATAGAATTTGTCTCAACCAGGTCATACGAGGAATGCTTTTACAAACATGAGTGTGCTCCCAGATCTTGAAACTTACATGAAGTATTATTAGATTCTGTGGTCACAGGACTCAACAAATCTCAGTTAAGTGGAGAAGAACAAATTCATTATGGAGGTCCTAGGTCCTGAGAAAGTGTTCAGTCTAAATCCTGTCAAGTAGGATTGTTGATATATGTCCTGTGTGTGTGTCTTTATATTTAATTTGTATTTATATTTATTCTGAAAGATTTCAGGGTCTGAATTCTGGAAAAGACTTAACACCATTAAAAACGTGGTTCCTGGATGATTATGACAGAGTATAATACAGGTTATTTTCAGTCTTCTTAAACCTAAGGTATGTGGATTGACCATTCCCAGGATGATTTTATTCTTAGACAAGAATATTTAGCTGTTGTATGTACTGAAAGAAATACAGGTAAGATTATACTCACTGAGCAACCCATTCGTCAAGACATCAGCTTTTTCTGCTCACAGCCCTGAAGGAGGCAAAGTAGGATGTGATCACCTTGGTCTATTTTTCTTGTGAAATGTGCGCATTTCTATTCTACTTGCAAGCACTGTGGTTATTTTTTTTACCAGCCATCGAGACCACAGGCAGGGGAGTAAGCTAGAATTCTGAGTCACAATTCCCAGCCTCTTCCTACGGATATGTATGTGGAGTGTGGTCCTGAGGCCCATCTGGAACACTTTCCCACACATTAGGCTGGGAGAGGCAGCAGGGCACAGGCTTAAGGATCCCTACAACATGGCTCCACCATCATCTTGTGTGTGACCAGGCACTGGCTACCTAAACCTTTGTGCCTTGGTTTCCTTGTTGGAAAATAAGGCCTGACAACAGTGTTTACCTCGTAGAGGTATTGTGAGGGGAAGGAGGAATACATCTAATATTTCTAGGACAGTGTTAGGTACAGGTTAACAGTGGTTTTATATACAAGCCACTCAAGTGAGGATTTAATAAATTTGGCAAGCTGTAAGCTTTCATACCTATGTATGTAGACATATCAAATCTTTTTTACAGTTGAGGGGGAAAAATGAGCAGAGAAAACTTTGAAAACAGGTGGTGGTAGCAAATATTTACCACCATAGATCCAGTTGAGAAAAATTCCCAGGCTTTGATGTGTCAGAAACAATTGTTTTCCAACTTGGCTCCAACAGCCCCCAGACAAGACACCCCGGTTGTTCCCATTGCCTGAGTAACTTTCCACTGTCACTACCTGTGGGACCAGCTTCTCTCCCAGACCTGTCCTTCCCCTCCACTGTCCTTTCCCCACATAAGTCATCTTTAGTGCATGTGCTCCAACCATCAAAGTTTTGTGTAAGGACTGACCTTGGGGCATACTTATATATGGGTACAAACCTTAGCCCTTCCCCCCCCAAAAGTTGTAGTCCCGAAGTTAATATTTATTTGAAACTTGGGAGTACACTCCCCTCTTTATAAACAAAACACTAAAGCAAAATGTTCTAGTCTCTCACACAAATTAATTGCCCGATTACCATTTCTCACAAATGCCATCTTTTTCTCTTTGTTTTCCCTTCCATTATGTTTCAGTTGCAGAGAGGGTAAATCATAAATTACTGTCTAGTATAGAGAGAAACATTCTGCAGCTGGAAGGAACTGGGAAAGCACTGCTTTTTGATTTTTGTTTTTTCTCAATCATGAATTCAGTGATTACTGACTTCAAAATAGGTAACGGTCCCATAAATGGGAAAAAAAACACATTCCAGGGTGAAAGGATGGCAAGTATAGAGAGATGTGAACATGCATTGTTATGTTTAGGGAAGAGTATATGGCAAGAAGTAAATAATTTTTGGTCTCCGTAGGAAACTGCCAGTGAGTTACCATGGGCACAAGTTGGGGAGTGCCTGTAATTGCATCTAGCTGGCCATTTTCATTTGGTGCCGGTTAATTGGACTAGCTTTAAAAAGTATGCTCAAGTTCTATTTTGAACTCTATCCTGACATACTTCCCACTCCTTTGCCACGCCCTAAGAGCTCATTTTGCCTTCTTTGGTGGTGGTAAAAAGCAAGGTCCCTTTTGTCTGAGCCTCTTGGTTCCAGGTCGCGTTTACCTTTCCTCAAGGTTTTTCCCAATTCAGCAATTCCCATGAATTTTCGTCAGATAGTTTTCCCACTAGGATGCAAATTCCATGAAAGCATGAATGTTCACATCTTAAAATTCACTGTTATTCCCAGTTCTTAGAATTGAGCTTGGTACATAGTAGTCTAGATATCATTCAAAAAATTTAAGAGCCTATTATGTGTTGCCCTATGGAGGGTCCAATGATGATTTAGGTATGCTCTCTACTTTTAAAGATCTTACAAATGAGGAAAATAGATACATAAACAAACTCCAAGTCAAGGAAGAATGAAACCAGTGCAACTATTGAGGTATACATTGCTAATAGGGGGGTGCTATGGACTGAACATGTGTCTCTCCCCAATTCATATGCTGAGACCTAATCCCCAATGTGATAGGTTTAGAGGTGGGGCCTTTGGGAAGAGGTTAGGTGGCAGGGTGGAGACCTCTCAAATGGGATTAGTGCCTTTATAAAAGAGATCCCAGAGAGTCCTTACCCCTTCCTCTTCATGTGAATGAGGAAGCAGACACCGAATTGCTGGTGCCATGGTCTTGGACTTCTTAGCCTCCAGAACTGTGAGACATGTTTATAAGGCATCCAGGTTATGCTATTTTTGCAATAGCAATCTGAAAAGGCTACAGCATGGGGCTCACAAGCAGTAATTAATTTCAACCAGGGGATTGAGGAAAGGCTTCACAGGATGTTGTCCCCAAAGAGAGAATTTTCATTAGGGATGTGGAGGTTATTTTTGGTCAAGTGATCATTAACTTGAACTCTTCTGTTTCCAAGGGACAGAAACGCATCTCAAAATAGTTTACACAAATACAAGGAAAGTGTAACTGGGAAATCTGGCTTCAGCTCTCCCAGAACTCTTGGCCCTGCTCATGTGTGGATGCTGCCTTCTCTCCCATAGCAGACAGACATAATCTATGTTGCAGGAGGAAGGGGTGGAGTTTGGCCACAGAGTTCCATGCTAATATCACACTGGATTGTAGTTAATAGCCATAGAAGGTTACCTGCATTTCAAGGCCAGCAAATAAGATCCCATGGAAAAGCCTCTGCTCAGTCTAGTTTCAGTCATGGGCCTATCTCCAAGCTAATCACTGTACCCATTGCCTGGCCATAGTACAGACAGTGCTAGGATAGAGCTGTGTTAATAGGGACTCATACAAAGCAGAATATAATTTTAACCAGACATGGTTAAGGTTGCAAGAAGACTTTTGTAGGATTTGTAGCTCTATTAGAACCATATAGAGTGGGCAGGGCTGGGGTGGTACTTCATGAGAAGATTGAGAGGACCCAAAAAGAGAAGAAATAAGATGTTGGGCAGACGAGTACGACAGGTAACCATTATACTAAAACGCATGCACTCATAGGCCAATGGGATGCAGTTTGCTGTCACAGAAATTTGATTGCCAGGGATAGGCAGTGGATCAGGCAGGAGACTTAGGATGGGCTAGGTCACGGGGAGCCTGCACTGATAAATGGGAGTCGTCAAAGGGCTCAAGTGAAGGAATGTTGTGATCAGACCTATGTTACTCTACTTCCCCTTTCGCAGAAACATAACTCTGGGCTAACTTTTCTGGAACATCTAAGCTGTCAGACTCTCACAACCATGCACTAAGTCTCCTCTTCCAGTCCCGTTTGCCTTTTCTTTCTCCAGTCCTCACACTATCTTGCCTCAATTCTATATATAGTCCTGCCATCCTGGCCACTTGTTTCCCCACCTAAGGTCAATACCCCATTAAGGAATTACTTTTGTCCAGCACTGAAATTCCTGGATTTTTACAGCATACATCTAAAACCCTACTTTTCAGTCACTGTGGCACCAACCAATGGGAGGTGGAACCATGCTAGCATGTAGCTAATTGGCATGGGTTAATGGGGTTAATTTCTATCACTTATCGCATATTCAGGTTAGCCTGAAAGCTTGAGAACTGTGGTCATCTTTTGAACTCTGGACTGGTAAACTGTAATGGATTAAACTGTACAAGATCTGAATGTGCCAATCTCTTTACATGTATTTTGGGGTTCTTGAAGGAGTCAGTGTGTCCCTGTGGCCACCAATCCTCCTAGTGGGAGGGGGTACTGTGGCCATAGCTCATGAATGTGTAGATTTTAGTCTATTTTACCCTTCATAAACTTTTGGGGATGATTACCATAAACTGTATAGGATCAGGAGGATTATGATCCTAAGAATGCTTAGAACAGTCTACTCTTTCAGGCCGTTACCATAGGGCACAATTGCTTGCCCCTAGTGAATGAGATAATGAATGGATCGATTCAGCTAGAGAAACATAGTATAATCTGAGAGAAAACTACATTTACCCCCTCCCCCCCCACCTGCTTCCCTGACATTAAATGTGCATGCACTAGCTCCAGCTGAGAAAAATCAAAATGGAACAATTCTAAAATGAAAATTATTTTTTTGCCACGCAAGCAGATCTCTACAGAGATAAAATAGGAATAACGTTTTTGTAAAAATTGAAGTTTCTGAGAAAATTAACCTTTCTTGACTATTGAAAATGAGAGGTAAGAAAGGAAAAAGAGAAAGGCCACCTTCTAAGAGTCGTTACTGCAACTACTGGCAGCATTTCGTACCGTTAGGGAGAGTGGGTGAACATTAGAAGAGGTCACAGAAGCTGAAAAAAGGAGACAACATAAGAGTCTTGGGAGAGTCATAGTGCTGGCTACTTCTGAGAAATGTACCTAGCAGCAAAAAGCAAAAAGCTCCTCAGACTCTTACTGGCAGAGTTTGGATTTATTATGACAACCTTAGAACCAAAAATGGCTATATTTTTCTATGACAAATCTCACAGGAATCAAACATTTTCAGAGATCAAGCAGAGAAGGTAGTGCATGTGGTAGTGTAGTCAAGGGAAGGTATGAACGATGCTCGATGTTTTCCAGGAGAAATCATTAAGGGTGAAGTGCTAATACACTTGTTTTTCATCTTACTCCAACAGAAGACCACATGTAATCTTCCTAAAGAGTGACTCCCCAACATATCCTGACAACAGCAGGGTGGGGAGGAAGCAAGTTACGAATAAGTGAAAAACCATAAGGTAACAGACAATACTAAGCACGCTCCCACCCTTATCCAAACACAAAGGCAGGGGAAAAGTTCCTGCTATCTGCCAAGAGATTATTTGGGGGGGGGGGGGGGTGGGAAACAAGCACACACACACACCCACCCACAGCAGCATCAAAAATTTTCCTATTCTCCAAAAAGTACTTAAATTAAAAAATTTCTGTTAACCTATGTTGGTACCATTTTGGTGGGGAGTTGTCATAAATTGATAAAAGGCCAACATACAAATAAGGAAGGGAGTGAAAGGAATATCAAATGTTATTTGACGCTACGCAACTTCCCTACCAAGGTTGCATTTGTCACCAAAATGGAAAACGAATAAAAGATTCCGGGGTATCCTTTTTTTCTTATTTAATTTTTTCATCCTTTGGTTTTTCTTTTTCTTGAGTATGTTGAGTCTGAGACCTGAGAAGCCCTCTGTCCTGATCCGGTAGGACACTCTTTAATGAGTGCCTTGGAAACAAAGGAGACCAACTGGGGAACCCACACCCAGAGCCACTTGTCAAGAGCCTGCAGCCAGTAAAGCTTCAGATTACACAAGAGGACTGGGTGGGGTGGGAAGGATGCACAAAAACCGAAAGTTTCTGCTCTTCAGAAGTTCTGATCTACTAGGGGAAGGAAGCAGGCAGTACTGGGAATGGGTTGGGGTGGGGGGTGCAGGGGTGGGGACTAGGTTCTAATTCTGACTCTGTCATTGGCTGGCCACGTGCTCTTACGGGGTGGGAGTAGTCACCTGTCAAATGAAGAAATCACATGAAGGGGCAACTCTCTGTAAAATGAAGTAACAAAATGTGATCAGCATTTCTCAAAGTAGATTCCAATTTAAAAAAAAAAAAAGTCTGGTTGAATAAGTTTGGGAAAACTTCCCTACCCTGGTTGATCCCCAACAGTACCAGATAGATTCTTACTGGATTTAGTGTATCAAAGACTCCTAGAGTCTTGCTGTAAAGGATTTTTTTAAATTTGGCATTTCCCAAACGTATTTTCTGAAAAAAACATCTGTTGACATTTGCAGAACATGCTTTGGAAAACATTGATCTCTATGCTGCTTCCAGCTTTAGAATTCTATCCTTAGTCGTTACTTTTCCGTACAGACTCCATCACTTCCCTTCTCTACTGCTGTGTACTCAGTCTTTCATTGAGTCTTTGTGCTGAACCTCACATGCTGCCTCTCCTCTGGCTTTACTTTTGATGACTTTATGCTATTCAAATGTTCACATGAAACTCAAACAGGGTTGGACCAGATGGCCTCTAAAATCTGTACAAACCCTGAAACTTTAGGATTCTTCGGTCATTATCACAAACATCCACTGAAGACCGAAACAGGATGTATATAACTGAGGCTGTTCTCATCAGAGCACTGATATCTACTAAGAAACGAGATGAAATTCTAGATCCTGTCATACTGAACACTGCTCTAAACTCAATACTATATTTCCTTGCAACTTCCTTTCCCCTGGACCAATGCAAAAGGAGAATACACAGGAAGACAGTGTGGGTTGTATGGGCTCTCTAGATCCAGCTAGAGGAAATATAGTTAAGAGTTCAGTGGGGGTGCTTCCTACCAAATCTTCTCTTTGTAGGTACAGCAAAAGTTTTTCACGTAAGTTATTATAAAACATCAAGAAATTATACATATTGCCCATACCTCACCATAAAAATATTTAATGCAGGTGTTTCAAATTCAGTCAGAGGACCATCCAATTCCTGGCAGAGGCTTGAGGTCCAGGAATGACAGCAGAATATGGGTAAGAGACAACTTGAGAATATCCACAGACGTCAACTGGCCAACACTCAGTTTAGTAAAATTCTAGTTCTTTCTCCAGTGTATGATTATTATACCCTCTTTTTAGCTCTGCCTTGACCCTAACTTAGTGTCACACGTTTCTTCTTTAGCTCCATTTCCATGCCAACAGGATTGTTTAAAAATACTTTTAAGACAGGGGCACCTGGCTGGCTCAGTCAGAAGAGCATGCAACTCTTGCTCTCAGCTGTGAGTTCGAGCCCCACATTGGGTATAGAGATTAAACTTAAAAAGACATTAAATACTTTTAAGACATACTCAATTTTCTCAATTGTCCAAATGTAGTAGCTGAGAAGACAGAAATATTAACCAACCTAATTAATCAGAAAGCCATTCAACTATTTTTCCTCTACTGCAGGCCTTACAGCAAAACCTCTAGGTCTGGTCTGCTCCACTTTAAGGGGCTCAGGTGCCATCACTGAAATGAGTGGTGAGCTGTGATACTGCCCTGACGGTTTCTTTCCCCGGCTACTCTGCAGGGGGAATGCAAACCTGGCATATGGTGTGTGAAATGCCTTGCAGACTAAGATACCTCAGCCCCCAAAGAGGAAACAACAGAGAGAAAAAGAATGAAGATGAATGTTCACACATCACTGCCTGGAGGCTTCTATAGAACATGTGCAGTGTGAGAATTTTCAAAGGCTGACAGATGCGCTTTAATAGAAAGAGGTAAAAGATAAGATTCATAAGGCTTGCTTCACATTTTATAGAGGGATAGGTCTTGGGAAGCCCAGTATACTTTATAATTATGTTTTAAAATACAGTAATGTTGGATTATAACATAACTACTGCTGAAAATAAAGTGATGAGGGGTGCCTGGGTGACTCAGTCGGTTGGGTGTCTGACTTTCGCTTAGGTCATGATCTCACAGTTGGTGGGTTCGAGCCCTGGGTTGGGCTCTGTGCTGACAGCTCAGAGCCTGGAGCCTGCTTCAGATTCTATGTCTCTTTCTCTCTCTGCCCCTCCCCCACTAGTGCTCTCTCTCAAATAAATGTTAAAAAAAATTTTTTTTTAAAAGAAAATAAAGTTACGAACTAACAAAAAGGCTTTAGCAAAGGTCAATTTCAAAGTAAAAATAAGGTAAGATTTAATCCAAAACATTCTCCCTTATTGTAAGTTTTGGTAATTCTTGGGACCCTAACTGGATTAAAATAGAACGATATGACCAATACTCTGAAGAATCATCATAGCGTGTACACAAAATAGAGAATAAATTTTTAATGGTATCAAAAACAGAACTTTTTGGCCAATTTAGTACTTGCTGGAATAAAGTTGCAAAATGTTACTCAGTAACGGACTTAGCTTCTAAATCAAGCCGGAATTACACATACTCTGTATATTACTTGAATATATACAAGTACATTCCATGATAACATGCAGAGACATGGAAACAAGAAGAGTACTATCAAGTCAAGCTCACCATCTCTACTCTCTGTTGATGAAATACACTGAAAACAAAACACCTGTTCAGTAATCCAGAATAGCTAATTTTGAAAAGGGGGTTTGAAATGTTGCTCTTTTCAAGAACTCAGATAAACTCCGTGGGGTTAAATTTGATTTTGTTTTCTCAACGTGAAAAAAGAGAAGCAGATAATGTGCTATAGCTATGGGAATATCTTTTTCTTTTTCTTCCATATCAAATTAAAAGGTTTGATAGACTTACTGTCCCCAGGAAAAAGGACTCTTCGCATTCTACTGGTAAGAATGAATCCCTTAAAGCTCTCAGACATACGAGTGTCACACCACCTGCAGCAACATATGCTTCAAGTACCTTTAATGAGACGGTCACATGAGACAGGAGTTTAATTTTCCTGAGAACTAAAGTAGACATATGAAATAAAACAGGGTATGAAAGTGACCTGAGTTCATAGGAGTCTCTAAATTCGAAAGAGATTGCTTCAGCTTTGCGAAGATCTCATCAAAAGCCTTTTATAGCAAGAGTCACATATTTGGTCACGGGGCTTCGGGGCCTTTTTAAGCACTCAAAAGAAGTGCTTTATGTTGTGCAAATTCCATGAAAGCCCAGGACAAGGGACTGATGGTGCTCAGGAAAACCTACAGGTGAGCCCACAGATTCCACGGCTTTTTGTAAAGAACGGAGTGGGTGAGATGCACAACTGACCAACTTTGCTCCCAGCTTGACAATTATTGGGCAGCTAAGAAAATCCTTGGAAGATAAGCAAAGACAGCACCTTACGTGGAACCTAGGGGAAGCCGCTCAAAAGTGAGTTAGTTGGGGTAGAGATGGCTACTGGTCTCTTCTAAGTAACTCCTCCTTTGTATGTGAGAACCACAGAACATATACGACAAGCAGGACAAAATATCGGCTTCACGGTCTTCTTTCCAAATTACGCATTGCAACTTCTGTTATTATTACTGTCGGCAAACTACTAAGAGGTCACGTGGGAATTGTAGTCACTGAATAGCATATAAAAGAATACAGTGCAGCTTCAATCTGAGCTCTTCTATTTGCTCTGTAATCTAATTCAAGGCACTTTAAAATGTTTTGGTGCCTTAGCGTATTAACACACAACAGGAGGAAAACACTCATTTACTTACCTCAAGGAGTACTACAGAGATGACTGAATCTTAAAGCACTTTGAGCTCCTCAGATGAAAAGCACTGTGGAGACAATCACAGCGGAGGAATACTCTTCCAGTGCCTCGGGATCCTGATCTATTGTGTCTTGTGTCTCAACCACGTTTTCTCGAACACTTCACAAGTAAAATTTGTGAGTGGCACTCCATCCCTTTATATATGTTAATTGTTTGGCACACAGATGTTTATATATTGAAAATAGTTGTAGTATTCACCACTCCAAAGTTGTTTACTAATTTTCCCATAAGGTTAATGAAATGTAGCCATGATGAAGTACTTTGTGTCAAATTTAGAAAACTTTAGCTTTCTTCTGAGGTACATGTGACATAACGAAAAGTTCATTTTGTTTTCAAAATAACTGAACTAGTGTTATTTATGTGAAACCACAAGTTTTTAATGACAAAAATACTGAAAGTATGCCACAGTGTCTATATATTCATCTGAAGAGTACAAAGATGGAGTTTTGAGGAAAAAAGGGTCTTAACACTATAGAAAAGAAATGTGGTTCTTAAATTGTTCAAAGGAAACATTTTAAAAATGTAATGCTTCGTGTATTGAAATAAAGCAGTTAGAGGTAATAAATTATAAATACAGTAGTTCAAATATTGTTTCTTTTTTTTAGCATTAGTTTTTGTAAGCAAGTTAAATTCAAAAACACCTTAAACT